GCCCGTCCCCTGCCCGGCTTCCTCCGCCCAGAGTCCGCGCCGGCCGGTCCCTTCCCCCCGCAACCCTCCCACGCCCTCCTTCTTTGGCCCCGCCCACTTCCGAGAGGCGTGCCTCCGCCGACCACTCTTCATCAAATGGTCCTTGCGATCCCGCCTCGAACCCAGCCCAGGGTCTCCGGACCTTGCCTGGCCCCCGCACCCCGGTGGCTACTCACCTTCTCCAGGCTCTGGCCCCGCGGCCCTTTCTGAGACCCACCTCCGCTCCTGAACGCCTCCAGCAGCTTGAGCCCCGCCCATCGCAGCTTCCCGGCCTCCTACCCCTGCCTCCTCCTTCCTGCTGCTGCCCCGTGCGATACTGGCTTTGTCACCCTCCTACCCGTTGTCAACCTCCCTCTCGCCACCAAGTTGCAAAGACTAGTTTCGCTGAGAACTTCCTGGAAGAACCCAGAAATGGGTCACACCCATCCCCCATGGAGAGGTCTCAGGGCCGGCCCTAGGCACTTCGGCTCAGCGAATAGAGCATCGGTCCGCTACTGAAGGGTCCTGGGTTCGAATCCGACCAAGGGCACATATATTGGTTTCAGGCTCAATTCCTGGCCTTACTCGGGGTGTGTGCAGGAGGCAACCAATCCATGTGTCGCTCACATCAATGTTTCTCTCTGTCTCTCCCCTTCCCTCCACTCTCTCTCTCTCAAAAAAAAAAAAAGTAATGGGAAAATATCCTCCGGTGAGAATTAACAAAAAAAAAGAGGTCTCAAGGCAAAGCCCTTCCCGCCCACACTGACTGCTCCACCTGGCACAGCGCAGGAGTGGCCAAGGGCTATGAGCCTGTTACCTCAGTTGTGCTTTATGGGGGTGTGCCCTGAGGGTTGAGTAGGGCTGAGGGGGTGAGGGTGAGGAGGTAGGAGGTCAGCTGGGCATGTGATCCCGATGAAGGTCAAGGTCCGGCCTGGCATCCATCCATGTACTGGCATCTGCAGACAGGAAGACCTGGCTGAAGCAGCCGGAGGCCTCCCCCAGACCGCACCCCTGGCGGCCCACTTCCAAGGACAGGGGGCAATGGAGAGGGAGGGACAGAGCTGGGTCCCAGCTACCTGAATCTCCAGACACCCCCACAGGCACACTAGCCTCCATTCCTCAGACCCAGCAAGGACGGTCCTGCCTCCAGGCCCCACCCTGTCCCTCCTCCCATTCCTTGTAAAACTCACTTCCTCGGGTTTGGGGGGCCCCCTGTGTCGCCTCCTCAAAGAGCCTTCCTGCTTCAGGCCTCACCTCTAATTCTGTGCCCATGTCTGGGTCCGGAGCGCTAGGCTTGGGGCTGGGGACTGGGGCAGAGGGGGGGTTGCTCTGGAAAGAAGCGCGGAGTGAGGGGGAAATTAGTGAAGTGAATGATGGGCCGTGGGTATATCTCTCTCCTCTAGGCCTGTGTCCCCACCTGTAAAATGGGGCACAGGCCTGAGGGTTAGGCCTCCAGTTCTGAGTCTGCACAGCTGAGATTGGAGCTGGGTAAAGTGGGAAGTGGAAACGTCTGCGCAAGGCTCAGAGGCTGGCATGTCCAATGGCCATAGCCCACCAGTTTCCTAAACTCACGAGTCCCAGCTATTCCCGCGTCCCTCCCTCTGCTCAGCTGTTCCCCTTGCTTCACATCCTGTCCTCACTACTGTGCTCACCGTACCAACGCGTTCCCTGGGCAGCCATCTGATTGGGTCTGGCCCACACATTTATGTTCCTATCTGCTTCACAAACTCCCTTCCTGCACCCACGCACCCCATGGCTGCCTCCTTAGACTCTGTGCCATGGGACCAGCATCGGATCAACGAGCCCATATTTCCTGGCACCTGGCCCAGGGCAGGTGCCAGGACATATCTGCTGAATGAATACATGAACGTCACTTGGGCCCCCTCTTTTTTATTTCATGCACGCCAGGTGATGTCCCATAGGGAACGTTTTCATGTCAACAGGCCTGGAGTTCTGTTTGGGACTCACAGGGGGCATGAGCAGGGTTCCTGGGGCCACAGGGCATGCTCTGTTTCTTGATCTGGGTACTGATTACATGGGTGTGTGTGGTCAGTTTGTAAAAATCAAGCTGCAACAGCGATTTTTTTAAAATGTAAATTCTTTATTGTTGAAAGTATTACAAACGTCTCCTTTTTCCCCCATTGACCTCTCCCCAGCCACTCCTCCCTGCCTGCAATGGCAACTTATGCACTTCTCTATACACAGATAAAAATGATTTGGCCCTGGCTGGTATGGATCAGTGGTTAGAGCATCATCCCACACACCGAGGGGTCTCAGGTTTGATTCCCGACTAAGGGCACGTACCAGGGCTGTGGGTTTGCTCCCTGGCCCTGGCTGGAAGAGATAACCAGTTGATGTGTCTCTCTCACATCAATGTTTCTCTCTCTCACCCGCTCCTTCCTCCCTTCCTTCCACTCTCTCAGAAAAGCCATGGAAAAATATCCTCAGGAGAGGATTAACAAAATAATAATAATAATAATAATAATAATTAAAAAATGATTTTAAAGCCTTGATAAAAATTCTGGTTTAGCCACATTTGCCATGACAATGAAAATGTTTTCTTCGAAGAAGTGACATGCACATTGAAGGACCACTGAGATGAAAAGGGTGTAGGCAGACTAATGGCCCCACAGGTGTCCACACCCACCCCCCTGGATCCTGTGAATATACGCCACCTTACATGGCAAAATGGGGTTTTGCAGAAGTGACGACGGGGATGGCCTTTGAGATGAGAAATGACCCTGGGTAATCCATGTGAGCCCAACCCCTCACCATTGGACCTTGGAGGGCCTGGGTCAGAGCGGGCAGGTGCAGAGGAGCCTGCGGTGTGACTTCCCTGGGCCCGGGCACTTCTGCCCTTGTGGGACCCTTCCTCCATTAAGAATAATATTAATAAATAATTAACACTATTTACGACTGCTTCGATATGAAAACAGATATATCAGAGTTGTATGCTAAGATGGTTTCTTCTACACAAAAGTCCATCCTCGTTCTTCTGACTCGTAGGGAACTTGGGTAAGGCCTCCGTGGGGTGGGCGCGTTCCCGTAGAGCCAGCACCGCCCTGACTCCGAACCGCCCACGGGGCGCCGCCAGGGGGCGCCAGACACCACGCGCGGCCGCACTGGGCAGCCGGAATGGGAGCTGGGCAAGGGCAGCGCATCAGCAAGCTGGGTCCTACTCGGGAGGCTCCAGCACACCCACTGGGGTCCCCGGAAACCTACTCCGTGCACCTCACGGCCCTTCTACCCATTGAGGTACCACGGCCGAGTGGTACCAGGCAAGTCTTCCTGGGCGGCAGGCAGGGCAAGGCGTCTTCCCTGGGCGCCCACAGCCTCCTGGGGCCCCGACCGCTTGGTCAGTCACTGTGTCCTTCTCTGAGGACAGTGGACAGTGAGGCCCCCGGCGGGGATGGGCCTGGGCCGCCCAGGGCCACTGGGGAACTGTTTTCAGGTGAATGACTCTGGGAGCGGGGAGCCCCACGCAGCTTTCCTGGGCCACTCCCAGCCTTGCGTAGGGCCGGGTGGCCACAGGCGCTCAGTAACGGGGCTCCCACCCGCCCCATCCTCAGTCTGGACCCCCAATTCCTCTGGAGGCTCAGGACCGGCCCTCCCACCTGCAGGGGAGACTGGTTGTCAGTTTGTGACAATAGTAAAGTGCTCAGATGTTGGAAATTAGTTTCTTAGTAAGTCAGAGGGATGCCGCTATCCCTGTAATCATCGGTTTCACGCCTGTTTTCATTTATTTATTTATTTATTTATTTTAATCACCAGCTATCCCCCACCCCCTCCTCCACTCCGCCCACCCCCTCACTCCTGTAGGGCAGAGGTCATGTGTCTGGCCCAGGAGCGGTGTGGGAAAGGCTGGATGTGAGCACTGAGCCTCCTGCTCCCCAGGCTCCCCTGGGGGCCTCAGGCTCACACGCACCGTGAATGGGGTTCCTGGCACAGACGGCTGCGGTTCTGCCAGGTGCACACCCTGCTCCAGCTCGGCCCGCTGCGTGACCTGAGGTGAGCTCCCGAACTGCTCTGTGACTCAGTTTCTTCATTTGTAAAATGGATAGGCCCGTGGTTGGCAAACTGCAGCTCTCGAGTCACATGCGGCTCTTTGGCCCCTTGAGTGTGGCTCTTCCTAAGCCTTGAGTCCCCTAATTAAGTTAATAACAATGTACCTACCTATATAGTTTCAGTTTAAAAAATTTGGCTCTCAAAAAAAATTTCAATCGTTGTCCTGTTGATGTTTGGTTCTGTTGACTAATGAGTTTGCCGACCACTGGACTAGGGGTATCAGAGCTGGGCCCCTCCCCCCCTTCTCAGGGAGACTGAGGGGACAGTGGCTGCCCAGCACAGAGGGGTGCTGTGGGCTGGGACTGGGAGACGGGCCCAGGCTATCCTCTCTTCCCCTTTCGGGTTGGAAGCCAGGCTTCTACTCTCGCTGGCCCCCCAGCTTTCCGGAAGGATGCGGCCTCTGCTATAAAAACAGGACAGTGGGGCCCACTTCCCCCAGGGTCGGCCAGGCATGCCATTGCTCCAAACCCCCGGTGCCAGGCACAGCTCCTGGGACACAAGCTGCCCCAGGGAGGTTGTGTTCTGGGCGGGGACACAGGTGTCACACAGATAAGCCTCCGGCAGCCCCCAGCAGGTCGGGCCCGGAAGCTCTAGCGCACGGCCCCCAGGACACCCGGCCCTCGTGCCCGGCTCGGTCCTTTCTCTGCGGAGCCCGTGGCTCTGCGATTTGGGATTTCTGCTTGAGCCGCTGCCCATTCCCCAGGGCTGGGCCAGTGGGGCCCGGCTGGAGACTGCAGGGGTGGAGAGCGAGCTCAGACCCTGCTTCCCTGCTTCTTTGCTGGGTGCGACTGGCTTCTAGTAGATTCTCTCCTTGCCCCACACACAGGCCTGGGCTAAACGTGGGTGCTGCCCGCCAGGGGCCACCGGCTGCTTGCTGGCCTCCTGAGCCTGCAGCAGGTCCCAGTGCCGCCTTTCCTGCCAGAGAGGCCGAGCCCGCTCTGTGCTCTCTGAGCCTCTTCTGATCCGGTTGTGGCTTCATGTGACGCGGTGTGAGGTTATTGGACGACTATCTCCCCGGTCCCTCATACGCGGCACCCTGAGGGCAGGCTGTGCCCTGTCCCTGGCTGTTGGAGGGGTTCATTCCCAGCGCACAGGTGGCTCTCAGGAAAGAGGCCCACGGTGTTCATGGAGCCATGCGAACAGCTGGGGCGGAGCTAGGATGGGGACGGAACGGGAGGACTCGCTTCAGAGCTGGGCTGCTGGCAGGTGGGCAGGCACGGGCCCTGGCGCCCAAGGGCAGGGCCAGAAACCAGCAGGTCAGAGCC